TTCAGGTCAAAGAATTTGACGCTTTCATCAGATTATCCAGGTGTGTGTGGCCCCCACCTAACATAATTACTCAATTTACATTGATTCAATTGGCTTTCACTATAAAAGCTAGTTTCCTTGGTAAAATTTTAGAAATGGAACTCCTCAACGCAGGAGACAGAGGTAAGCTCTGATAGCATAGACATATTATGGATGTTATTAGGAATCATTGCTCTTTTAGGGAAAACAAATATTGTTCCAGTACTAGGAGAGAAATTCTCTATGTAAATGTTTATGACTCCCTGTTTACAGCGTACTCTAGAGGAGAAGTTCTATGAAGGATACATCAGCGTTTTGAACAATGTTCATTCCAAAAAAAAAATTACTTATAATTGTAAATATTGTTGTAAGGATTATGGTAGTAATGGATGGAGCATAGATTTCACTAGAGCTAAATTGGTTTACTGGATTTGGCATTGTACATGGCCAAGTAAATATTGAGCTCAGAATACCAAACAGATTGGGACAGAGCCATGGGACTCTCCCCAATTCCACTTCATGTCTTATCTTCCTGTGAATGTTCCAACAGAAAGCTTCTGGACACCCTTAAACCTGGAAGAACTTCCCTTGGCTTAATTTTAGTTTAAATTTTAAGAGGCAATACAGAGCAATTTAAAAAACACCCAAATATAGATTTACACATTGATCATTTCCAGTAAGCAGAAATACTCTATTTTCTCAAATCTCACCATAATTGTTTTTTAATTTTCTAGAAATGTTAATTAGATTTTCATTGACAAGATCCCAAAAGGCGTTTCTCACAGAGATGTGCATTTCTCAACACTGTCCTGTTGACTTTAATTAACATTTATGATTAACTTTTTCAATGCCTTTCTATCCTTGGTAAAAATATGCCTTCCTAGGATGTTTCAATTTTCAGCAATTTTTAAAAATATTTTCAGGTGAACCTGTCATTTCTGCTGAATTTCTAGAAAAATTTTTACAAAATTATGAAATAGATGACTCCATTAAAAAGCTACTAGACATATCAGCAGACAGTGATAAAGAAATGACAGGAAGAAATGACGTGCCTCAAGCAACTTCACCAGGTTAGTCCTAAGGGGTTATGCAATATATCTGGGATGGACAAAAGGGTCGGAGATGGCATGTGAGTGACAAGGCATTTTATACTTGGTTTCTTGTATTTGCTAGAACCTGTTTCAGGTTATTAGCCTCACTGAACTCATTTTTTCATGTATATAGTCATTCCTTCATGTGTATATTCCTTATGCCTGGAATGCTAGGGCTTCTACTGATCTTATCAGGAAGTCAGAAAGAACTGACTTGCTATCATCCACACAGGGCTTGATTTGTTTGAAGGGCCAAATCTGAAACTGGATAATCAAGAGGTTGAAAAAAATTCCCTGGTTTCTGAAAGAGACCAAGAGAAAGCCAGTGAAACAAAAACAGAGAAGACACTGAAGAAAACTGACCTCTGCAGTAGCAAAAAGGTGAGGTCAACAAAATGTACATGTCAGTCATCTCTGGAAATAGACAGCCATCTGTATGTCAGAGGAGAGGCCTTCTTGAAAGGTTAATTGCTTCCAACTTGGTAACATTAGGAGGCTAAATACGATGGTTCCAAACACTTGATATTTCCCCACATTATACTGATCTGGAGAGTGTACAAAAAAGAAAATTTTACAGTGATGCAAAATGGACAACATAATCACAATTATCTAATTATATTATTAGCATTAAATTTAATTAAAGACAATTGAATAATAAATATAATTTGATTATATTTTAATTCAGGTAATTCTACACCATAAAAGGAAGAAAAGATTTCACAAAATCTTGCAGGAAGCAATTGATACAGTGATAAGCTGTGTGAGTACTAGTTTTTCCTCAATCTGGCCCCCAAATCACTGAATAACTATGTTTTCCCATTGCAATTATTTGCTTCTTTGCATTGCTTATTTGGTTTAACAAGAAAGTGTGGTTTCAGATTCGGATTGGCAGTCGAATTCCTGAGACAATAGGCTTCAACCTCCCTCGATTTAATTTCTTTAACAAAATATATCTTTAAGAAAATATATGGAACAAATGAAAAAAAAAATAGTATTTTGGGAATGGTATTTCAGAGGTCTCCCTATATGCTATTCTGATGACCCCAGGTCATGCAGGACCTAGGACATGTGACTGTAATTGATGAGCCTGAGCTGGCTCAGACCTTCTCAACTCAGGGTAGCCATCATTTCCAGGTCCCTTTAGTTGTTCAACTTTGTTAGTCAAGTTGCTTCCCCAATCCCCACCTCAGACACATGTGACTATCCTTTGTTCCCTGGTGCCAAAGCTTCATTACTACAGGTTCCTCCTTACCCATTAACCTTGACCCTGAGTACAGAGTAACCACATCCAGACTCACATTTATCTTAGATCAATGTACACTTATGAATTTGACTAAACTAAAATCTTCAGGCATCCCTGACATCTGAAGAAAGGTCAAAAACAAGACATTCACACTTTGTCTACCTTTAATTTTTCCTCCTGTGTCTCTCACACACACACACTCTTGGTAGGGATGGGAGAGTCTTCTCACAAATCTTAATCTTAGTCCATTGAATTGTTCTTTAGAATACCACATAGAGTTCGTAGAGCATATTCTGACTAAAAAAAGTTTCTACCCATTTTAGCAAAGCCTCCAGATGCCCATAAATACACTGAAATCATAAGATCAATTTGAACTTCTTTTTTTCTTTTTCTTTCAGGAAGAAATTGTCTCCAAAATGCTGCGAGCTCTGAAATAACTCCTGCTTTCAAGTGATCACCAATGGCTATCTCAGTAACTCTTGCCTCAGTGATTTGCTATCCATACATTAATGATATTACTTTCCCTTCAAATATTGAAATGTTTTGATCAAAACCTTATATATGGTGGGTCAAATAAAAATTTGACTATTTCTGATTGGCTAATTTTACTCAGCATAATATCTTCCAAATCCATCTGTTATAGCACGTGTCAGAATTTCCTTTCCTTTGAAAAGCTGGATTCTTCTTAGCAAGCCTCCAAAAACTGAGTTGCAGCTGCCTCTGAACCTTCACTTCCTGGCTGTTATGGTGCCAGGGCTGCCAGGAGCTTCAGGCCAACATGGCAGAGATTGGAGCTCCGATCCAAGGGAGTGGAGAGGAGCTGGTGGAGCGGCCGCAGACCTACACCCCTCAGACTGGCATCATGCTGAATCAGCCAGTTTTGAGAGGGGAATACGGGGTGTTGCTGTAAAGGTATCACGGAAAAGCAATGTCATGAAGAATAAGCACGCTTATTGAAATTGTGTTTTAAATAAAGGTGACCATCTGCTCACTCAGGCAAAATGGCGAGCTTCTTTATTTGCAGTTGGCTTATATAGGGAATTTTGTACATGAGCACAATGCAGCAATGACCTCATTGATCCATTAAACAGTTTATGACCACCCGCCCTATAAGTAGCTCCTCCCTAGTAATCCAATAATCCACCCAACATGCACCTTTAAACATAATCCTTTCAATATAACTGGTTTAATGTAACTTAATGAAGAACATGTTGTCAGTTGTGTTTCACCTATATTTCCCCCCTTTTTTTCTTATTGGCATTACTGACCATGCCATTTGGAGGCCATTACTTTGCATCTTTAAGCAAGGCATAGAGAAACTTTTTGGGCATATAAGTTTGTGTGCAAACCTCTGCTCCCATGTAGAACTTAAGTTGGTGGTGGTGGTGGGGGTTTGCTGGAGCCTTTTATAAGGAATTCTCAGGCTGAACTTCTCAAAAGCCTCTCATGAGCCCAAGTTTCATCTGTGACATTAGATACCTGTATGACATAGATCAGGATCCCAGACCTGTGGGTAAGCGACCTTCGTCACTTACCACAGATCAGGAAAAGTTACTGATGGGTATCTGGCCAGTTTTCCAAAGGGCTTTCTCATAGGCCATATAAAGTCAACCTTAATTCCTTAACACAGTCTGGAAATGCTATGCCAGCCAAAACCTTGTCCATGTTAGGCCTGCAACTAACCTGACCACATGGCATTTGGCCTCAGTTTCTTAAGAATGCCTGCACAAAGTCTTTTCACTGCTCTCTCAAGTGGCTTTTTTGGCCAGAGGCATATAGGCATTCACATAAGACATCATTAAAGTAAAAATAACAACATGTCTTTCATTCTCCTCAGTAGTTTGATTTAACTTCTTACACATGAAATATTAAATTAAGCAAAAGCTAAGTAACAAAGCAAAAGATCCAATCGTACTTCCAATAAGTGCATTGATCTTGGGCATAAAATTCATTTGTTCTATTCCTTCTGCTAATCCCTTTAAGATCGCATCACTATCCATCTTTTCCAAATTACGTTGGAAAGTATTGTACACTTAACTCTGCAAATTTACAACATCATTAGTTAAATTCTCATGATTCAACAAATGTTTCCTAATTTTTTCCCAGGGAAATGCTGTTTCGTTATATTTTACAGCGGTAATACAATAAGTGGTAATATTTCAATCACATTTTAGTTTTCTCTGCCTTTTTAAATGAACCAATTCATCACCCATCATAACAACAGTCTGTTCCAAATCAGAAATTTCATTAATTTGGAAGTTTGTTCCAGACAAATTTCAGTGTCTATTTGTCTTTGGGTAGTCCATAACTGTTCTGAATTTCTATGCCAATAAGGAACAAAAGTCTGTGTCCTTATATTTTGTGTCAAGGTGACTCTTGCTGTAGCGGCAGTTGCACTAACAGCAATGATCCCCCAAATAGTAGCAATCAACAGTCCAATAAATCGGCGACTTCTCTTCAGGATTCTCTCAGCCAATAGCTGCAATATTGATAGAGCCGGGGACTCTTGCCAAGGTCTCACTAAGTTCACTGGCAGCCACACTCCTGTTTGAGCTCTCAATAAATGCAGCTAGCTGTTCCTTAGAGGGATCAAAACTCAGATTGGTTAATACAAGTAAATAATTGACAAGCAGGACAGAATAATTCTCCCATTTCCTTGTTCCAATTTATATTTCCTTTAAGCCACACAAAAGGTAATGGTAGGGAAGGTTGACTATACCAAGCATCTTTAACTTCAAAACTCATAGTGTACTGATTATTCTCAGGCTCATGAGACAGACCACCCCTCCAGGCTTTAACGGCCTGCATGGCAACAGCAAATTTCCATAAATGAACTTGCTTTGGATAACTTCCAAGAGCAGGAGGGGAGGTGAAAACCCACCATTACTCCAATACATAGGGTAACCAGTGGCTATTCTAACTACATCTTTCTTTGATGCATAGTTGTAATTCTCCATTGGGCTGTCAACTGGGACATCAAACGGAACAGGAGCACCAGACGACGTGTGTAATCTTGCAATGGGTCCCCAGTCCACAATCTCCCCATATGTGGTATTTAGCAACATAAAGGGATATTATCCTTTACATTTCACCCAATGAATCCAATTATTAACTTCTTTAAAAGGATGCATCTGGCATGGTGGTAATTCTGGATTAGTCAGAACGTTTTTAACTTGATGTTTTTCCCATGCATATGTACTCAATATATACATTTGAGACATCAAATGTGGTATGTTTGATGGATATTCATATGAGCTTACCCATGCTTGCATAGCCATATTGAGACAATGCATAGTTACCAATACAATTGGGAGTACTGGTCGCTCCAGTAGTATAATTAAAAATGGTAGTGCCTTCTTCCTCTGGTTTAAAAGGTCCCCTAATGTCATAGGGGCCTGGAAGCCAGGCAGAATCATTAATATAAACAGGTGCAGTAGGTTCCATCCAACTAACTTCTCTTAGTAATGGGGGTTAGGGACATATAT